CCAATACAGATCTTCCATCTTGAGCATGAGCAGTTGCTTAAGTTATTTGGTTCTTATTCATTATTTGTACAATTGAGGTTATTTCAAGAGTTATAATTCAAAAATGTAAAGGGGGACAATATAAAATATATTATATTGGAGAGTGGAAGTGTGAGCGAAGGTGTAAGAGATTTAATGATATGATTGATGGATGGGTCAAGCAAATAAGTGAAAAACTGATTGAGTTAATAATTAAATTAATCATTGAATTGATGATAATTAAATAACAATAATTAAACGAATTCATGATTATTTACACTATCATGAGTGAAGAAATAACATTCAAATATGCATACATACGTGTGATAATTTACTTAATAATTAGTGAAAGAGTAATGTAGTGAATATGTGAGTGTAATGGTTAACTACTAAGAAGACAGTTAGTGGATGATAGATGTGTGAGTGAGTGAAAGAATGAATGATGTGTTTTTATTGATTAAAAAATAAAACAATATAATTTATGGATTTTAAAACCGGGTAAAAACCCACGCACGTATAAATCATATCGACCCATCATCTTATCGTCATGCTTAGTGAAAACCTTTGAAAGACTAATAAAAGCCAGACTTGATTGGTTCCTTGAGCCTAACCACATCCTACCCAATCACCAATACAGCTTTCAGAAAGGATGAAGCACTCTGGAAGTTCTAGCAAACCTTATCACAGACGTACAAATTAACTTCTGGAATAATAATTTTCTCCTGTGCACCCTCATCGATTTACAGAACTGCTACAACAATGTATGCATCGACATCTTAGTCAACAAAATGGTCCTCCTTGGGATAGCCTACAGACTAGACAGAAATATATCTCATCTCCCCCTCAACAGGCAAGTATACGTTAAGACAAAGGGAACACTCCAGGGGCCACGGAATACCTCATCAGGCCTCCCACAAGGCTCTGCCCTCACCCCGATCCTATTCAACATATATACTGCGGATTTGGGCGACTCAATTGGAAATGAAACTAAAAAGGTATTCTTTGCCGAGGATATAACTCTACTGTGAAGCACGTTCAAAACTATGAATAAGGCCGTAAAGAACCTCCAGGCTTGGGCCAAAAATCACGGACTAAAACCATCTCTGGAGAGAAATGCTCCGCTATTACGTTCTCGAGACGCCTCAAATACACTCAACCGGACATTTACAGACTAGGGAACCAGACTTTGGCCCCAATGATGTGTCAAACTACTTGGCGTGCATCTTGACCAAAAACTCCTATGGAGACAACAAATTAACAACGCAGTAGCCAGTTGTGAAAAAGTAATTGACATCATAAGATGCATCAACCACTATAACTATGGGGCGGACATGAAAACATCCCTTCTATTACGCCGAACCCTAGTGCTGTCCCAATTTGACTACGGAAGTCTCTTTTATAACGATGTCACCAAATCGAATCTTTTAAAGCTGGACAGAACCCAATACAAGTCCCTACATGCTTTGACACCCTCCCCGACTAACGCCTTATTAGTTGAAGCAAAAGAACCTCCACTTAATATTAGGAGGAAAAAGTTGGCCGGAAAGTTCGTTGCAGAAAAGATGTTGACAAACAACCCCTTGCTGGCCAAGATCTCAATGTTGGCAGAACACTATTGACCAAAACATTCTGGGAAACAAAAAACTCCTCTCTTAGTATCGCTATTCTGTGAGCTCACACCTCAATACAACCGGAACAGGGAAAAATCCGAGGGTGTACGAACATATAATGTCGATTATTTTAAAACCATCAGGAAGGTGAATATATTCCCTAATTTTATCCATCATGGCCACCAAAAAGCTGTGGGATACCACCAGGTATTTCACGCAAGACTTACATCAGTGTTCCCAGATCACACATATATATATACACACCGATGAATCCAAAAGCGAAACTGGAGTAGGAACAGCCTTTCTTGAAACAACGAGCAAACAATATGCCAAATTCCATCTCAGCGAGAAAGCCTCCGTACACTCGGCAGAGCTACTGGCAATAAAGAGACACTGCTATATGCCAAGCGTGAAATGATGCCCAGGATAGTAGTCATCTCAGATTCCCTAAGTTCAGTGCTAAGCATTAACGCATCTAGCTCCAAAAGCCCAAAAATGATATACACAATCAGATCCCTAATATTTGAGTTGCAAAAACGCAGCTCAGCCGCGATTATATGGATCAAAGGGCTGGAGTATACGGAAACGCAAAGGTGGACCAATTAGCCAAGGAGGCGACTTCAACAGGTGAAAGCAGAAATCACGTGTTTACGACTTTAGACATAGTAGCCCAAATTTAAAAAAAAATGTCTTCTCTTCGTGGAACGAAGATTATGGCGCATCCCTACATGAGAAAGGAAAGTATTATGGAACCCTAGTCCCTCGTGTCCCTGTAAGAGCATGATACAATTCTTCAAAGAGAAAAGGAAATTCTACATCACATTGATCAATCTGCCACTCCACCATCATCGACTGGCGTCACACCTACACCGCATAGGCGTAAAAGAGTCACCTCACTGTGGGCGGTGTCAGAGAGCAGTTATTGAAGATTCAAACCATGTCTTCCTGGAATGCCCCCGGCTAGATCATTCACGTCAGGACATCTGGAAGAAGGTCAAGGAGGAAAAAATCCCCCTAACCACCAACCTACATAACATACATAAGTAAAACATACTTACCTAAACATGCCCTTGATTGTCTGACAGTAGTGTAGTTCCAATCTAGTTCAGTGTTATAAGTGTAAGCTGCTAGTGTAGGAGAGTCAGATACGGCTGTCTCCTGCCCGCCATCCTCTATCAAAAGTACTTTCCAGTCTGATATCTCTGACAGTCTGTTCGCCAGAACGCATCCTATTAATCAGCATTTATTTATAATAGACATTTGTCAAAGGGAAATAATAACGAGAGGATAATTGTCTGACCAGCAGATCCCGCTCCAATTATAATGAAGTCGTATGAGTCAAGGATTTGGTCCTGTGGCCAGTTGATAGGCCTTCGACTCAAATCGACATCTTCTGGATAATATGTTGAAACTGCAGCGATGAAAGTTGTGAGAAATTCGGTTGTGTTTAATTCCATTATTGCAAGTCCCTTGCAAAATTGTATGGACAGTGATGCAGACTATGTAATTTATTCAAAACAAAAGAAGGTCTATTTAAATTATCTTAGTTAATTATAATATTATCTTAATATGCATATTGTTTTCTAAAAGAAATAAATATTATAATTGTCTTAGTTAATTATAATATTATCTTAGTGTCCATAATTTTTGTTTGTTTCGTTCTAAAGGAAATATAATTTTATTTATTTATAAAAGTAATAATATTTTAGACAAATTCTTCCTAGATTCACATAAAATCATTCCTTCCCATCGATTCGGCCTCCATCCCCATCATTCCTTGAAAAATCCACGTTTCAGTCATTGACACCATTTCCTCCGCTCCAGAGAATAAAGAGTTTTGCCTGGAAGCATTCAAGCCTCACCCTCCACCGAATTACTGACTTCAGTGTTCAATAGTTAAGACGATGGGGGATCAGTTCCTACCAACCTTTCAGTATGCTATTAACATAATATTCTCAAAAATGCCTAATATCCTAGTTTATATGGGTGATATATATTTTCAAATAAATTAGTGGCACATTTGAAAAGTGTTCTTTTAAAATTAAAGGAACATAATCAAAAAATCAAACTATATAAAACAGAATTATTCAAGAAAGAACTGCAAGATTTTAAAAAACAATTTATCCCTACTTCTACTAGTGGCAACTGTAATCTTATTTCAATTAATTATTCTTTTTATCGAAGGTCTTGGTTGAGATGAAAAAGTTAATGTCACGAGCTATATTCAAACCCTTGACCTTTGGCTCAATATGCTGCTGTTTTAACCACATGAGCTATCATGACTTCTACTCAAGTGGTTAAAACAACAGTGTATTGAGCCAAATGTCGTGGGTTTGAATATTGCTCATTACACTAACTTTTTTCATCTCGACCAGACCTTAGATAAAAATTATAATTAATTGAAATAATTTGTATAATTATGACTGCTAAACTTTATTGAAATTAAATTAAAAATTATTTTACAATTTGTTCAACACAGAATATTACATGGTAAAAAAACCACATGTTGGCCATCAAAGCAACCATTTAGATTTATCGACATCAGGTATCCAACAAAATTTTTTGCTACCCGATTTTTAGAATATATTTTGAAAATCATGGACAAACCACATCTTGTTTTGTGCAGTGCCAATTGTTTTTCCACTTATTTGTGTGCTGCAAAAGGGGGGCATCTTCATCGCTTTTGTTAATTAGGAGATGCTTGTGCATTAGTATTGCAACCAATTTGTTTGTTTATTTTGTCCATGACCCACGGTTTGGCCAAACTTTTTATGCTTTTTAATTTGTTAGTCATTAGAACCCAGCAATCTTTCCAACACAAATTTTTTAATTATTTCTGGCTGGGCTCAAAGGAATATCTCAGTCATGTAGCATCGTTGCTATTCATATGCTAGCTTGATCTGCATTATCATTGCCTAATGACTTGGTCTAGAATCCAGACAATAATGATTTCTTTCTTTATTCCATTTTTTTTTTTTTTTTTTTTCATATTGCCTGGATTATTGGCCTATGAGAAGGTAAGGGGGGGCACTGCGTGAGTCTGTGCAGATAGCTGTGCCCGATATTTACTTATTACCAGACAATTCAAGAGAACCACACCTTTGAGTCAGATTTATTTTGCAAGTATATAATAAATATTTATATTACAACAAAGTCAAAGAGTTTATGTCTCATTTTTGTTTGTTTTTTACAGAAATTGATTTTTTATTATATCTGAAGTTTTTTCTGCAATCATGATTGTAGGAGCATTCGTATTTCCCCGAACAATTCTAGGCATGATGGATGTGTCGACAACTCTCAGGTTTTTAACTCCATGTACACTCAAGTTGGAATTTACAACAGACGTGTTAGGATCAGGCCCCATCCTTGCAGTTCCAACAGGGTGGTACACTGTAAATGAGTACTCTTCCATGATGCACACCAACAATTGGTTCATGTCATCTATAGATTTGCAGTTTGGGTAGAAGTCCTTGTACAATTGGGGTGACAGCTGTCTCATAGCTGTTGTATTGGTAATTTCCAAAATCATTTTCAAACCTTTGAACATCAACTGCATATCTTCCAGGTTTCCAAAAAAATTCGGATCAATTATAGGTCGGTCAAAAGGGTCTGTTGAATTGATCGTCACGCTCCCAAAGCTTAGTGGTCTTATGTTGAAAACACTGGCCATCAACAAGGGTAGATCTTGTGTGTTTGTTTCTGGGAGGCAGCTAACAAAAAGCAATCCTAGATCAGATGGACTCTGTAGGTCTTGGGCAGCATTATAAAAACCGACTGCATCGAAACCGTTTGTGGTCAAAGGGCCTTGTCGGTATTTTGCATATTCCAATGATGATTCTTCAGTCTTATAAACACTTGTTGTAAGTGTAATATTTTGATTAATCAAGAATATTAAAGGGGCCTGATTATGATCCATAAGGTACTTTCCAACGGGCAGATTTGCAATGACTGGAATACCCAATGATTCGAGTTCTTCAACAGGACCTATTCCAGATAACATTAATATTTGAGGTGTGTTAATACCCCCAGCAGAACAGATAACTTCTTTCATTGCATTAATTTGATAGATTTGACCATTTCTTACATACTGCACACCTGTTGCTGTCTTAGTGGTTGGATCTATAATAATTTTAGTAACCCTTGATCGCATTACAATATGAAGATTTGTCCTGTTCCTCACTGGATTAAGATATCCTTTTGAAGTACTCTGTCTTGATGGGCCCAAAATATCAGACTGCACCCTCATCACCCTGTTCTGATTCTCCCCATTGTAGTCTCCATAAGGAAGGCCAAATTCTTCTGCGGCATTGATCCAAATTTGTGAAAACGGAGTCTCATAGTATGCCAGCTGTACCGACATCGGACCATTCCTTCCATGATATGGAGAGTCGACGAGCTCGGGAATATTGATAGTCTCAGACTTGATGAAATACGGTAAGACATCCTTATATCCCCAACCTGGGTTTCCATCGGCTTCCCATTCGTCATAGTCAAAAGAACTTCCTCTAACATACATCATCTCGTTTATTGTGCTCGAACCTCCCATCACATGACCCCTCGGATATAAACAGCTACCATTTCGAGCTAAAAATAATTTTTAAAAAAATGTTAGATATAATTTGCATCAAATTTAACAATTTTACAAATAAATATTATAAAACGCCTAGCTATAAGTATTACCTGAATACTTCCTACTCATTCATTTTTTCTAAAATTTGTATAAATCAAATATAATAAAATAGATTTGGACACACTAAGAATATTTCAATTACTATACTTTTTATCTAGTCTTGGTTGAGATGAAAAAGTTAGTGTCACTTGCAGGATTCGAACCCACGACCTTCAATTCAATATGCTCTGCTCTAACCACTTGAGCTATCATGACAATTTTCATCTCAACCAAGACTTTAGATAAAAATTATAATCAATTGAAATAATTAATTATGTCAAATTATAAAAACAACGCTAAACACATATTAATATTAAGAATATTTTACAAACCAATTGTTCTTTTATTTTGAGTGCCAACAGAAGCCTAAGCTATTTTGGTTCCTATTTATCATTTCACAAGTGAGGTTGTTTCAAGACACACATAAATCAAAAATGTTAAGGGAACAATATAAAATATGTTATATTGGAGAGTGGAAGTGTGAGTGAAGGTGTGAGAGATTTAATTAGATGATTGATGGTTGGGGTCAAGTGAATAAATGAACAAATGATCGAGTTATGATTAAATGAATGAATGCTGGAATGATTGAGAGTAGTAAGTAAATGTGAAAAAATGTGAATGAAATAAGCAAAGTTGTGAGTGATTTGGTGATTGAATGGTTGATCAATTGATTGAGAAGTGAACAAATATGTCTGATCTGTTGAGTTGGTGATTATTTGAATAGTTATGAGTGAAGAAACAAAATTCAGATATGTATGATAAGTCACTTAATAATTGGTGAGAGAGCAATGGAGTGAATATGCTAATGTAATGACTAATGAGTAAAGAAGAGTGATTAAATTACAAAACAATAATGAACAAGTAGATTAATCAACTTTAGTTTATTAATTGATATGCCATGAATTGTTTTTTGTACATTTTTTAATTTGACATATAAATAAATGCTTCATAATTTGTGTTTTTAGTATGTGAAAGTTCATAATGTTTAATTAAATTCAGTCAATTTATACTGACCAAAATTAATTTGTAGAAAAAAATTATATGTGTAATAAAATACAATGTATACACCTATACATGTGTTTTATATTGAACCGGCACAGGGTTTAAACCTGCGAGTGGAGACAGACCCAGTAAGTGATCCTGGGCCGGTTCAACGTGAGTTCACCAACTCACAGACCAAAGCCCATTATCAACTCTATATAAGTGCGCAGTAAGTAGAATCAACTTCAGAAAACATATTTACCTAAACATGCTCTCGGTTGTCTGACAGTAGTGTAGTTCCAGTCAAGGTCGGTGTTAAAAGTGTAAGGGTCGAGCCCAGGAGAGTCAGATACGGCTGTCTCCTGCCCACCATCCTCTATCAAAAGTACTTTCCAGTTTGAAATTTCTGACAGTCTGCTCGCCAGAACGCATCCTGTTAATCAGCGTTTGTTTATAAGAATCATTTGTCAAAAAGAAATAATAATTAGAGGATAATCGTCCAACCAGCAGATCCCGCTCCGATTATGATGAAGTCGTACGAGTCCAGGATTTGGTCCTGTGGCCAGTCAATGGGCCGTTGACTCAAATCGACATCTTCTGGATAATATGTTGAAACTGCAGCGATGAAAGTTGTGAGAAATTCGGTTGTGTTTAATTCCATTACTGTAAGTCCCTTGCCAAAGTGTATGAACAGTGATATGCACTATGTAATTTATTCAAAACAAACGAAGGTCTATTTAAATTATCTTAGTTAATTATAATATTATCTTAGTATACATAATTTTTCCTAAAAAAACTATAATATTATATTTCTTTTAGAAAAATTATGTAATGTTATCTTACTATGCATTAACAAAGATAATTATAATATTATATTTCTTTTAGAAAAAATTATGAAATATTACATCAGTATACATAATATAATACTATATTTCTTTTAGACAAAAGTATGCAATATTATCTTAGTATACATATTATAACTAACAAAGATAATTATATTATATTTCTTTTAGAAAAATTATGTAATATTATCTTAGTATACATGTCATAATAACAAAGATAATTAAAATATATATTATATTTTTTATTTTTAAAAAAATGTAATATTATCTTAGTATACATATTATAATTAACAAAGATAATTATAAAAATTATGTAATATTATCTTAGTATACATGTCATAATAACAAAGATAATTATAATTCAATTAATAAAGGTTTTAAGTTGAGATAAAGTTTGACTTTTTATCTCAATTTAAAACCTTTATTAATTGAATGATATTAATTGGTCAAGCGGACCACGAAAAATAGTGGATAATTATAATACATATTATATTTCTTATAAAAAAAATGTAATATTATCTTAGTATACATATTATAATTAGCAAAGATAATTATAATATTATATTTCTTTTAGAAAAATTATGTAATATTATCTTAGTATACATGTCATAATAACAAAGATAATTATAATATATAAAAAAAAAGGATAAAGCAAAAGAAGTGTTATTGTGTTTTGTTTCTTATTATTGTTATGTAGAATTAGTTTATTTATCACATTTGAATGGAAGAATAAAATGATAAGGGTGAGCCTATTCTCATGCTGTGACTGTTGCTAGTCTGACTCCATTATTATTATTATTATTAGCCATACAAGCCCTATGGGAACAAAAATTCAGAATTTTAATTTAAAAAAAAAAAAAAACAGAAATAAATTTTATATGTAATTTAAAATGTGATTTTTGCATACATTTGGCCTTCCAAATTAAGAATTTTAAGAAGATAAATTAAAGCTTGGATGGCAATAGGATAAATTAGTTTACGAGTGAATGTTTGGAGAGTCAGAGTTTTATAGCACTCAGAAGGGATAGAGCTAAACTAAGATAGAAGGTTTGGGTGTTAGGGCGTGAAATCTTAGTATACATATTATAATTAACCAGACCGCATCTCACGATTTCTAAATAAATAAATTATAATTAACAAAGATAATTATTCTTTTAGAAAAATTATGTAATATTATCTTAGCATACATATTATAATTAACAAAGATAATTATAATATTATATTTCTTTTAGAAAAATTATGTAATATTATCTTAGTACACATGTCATATATGTAAAATATGTAATATTATCTTAGCTATATTTCTTATTAAGAAAAAGTAATATTATCTTAGTATACATACCATTTATACTGTTGACTTTCATACGTCCTTTTAGTCCATGAGTACTATCTGTACGGATAACTCCACATTTCTGTTTTCTAACATGAACTCTATTTAAGCAACCTCCAATGATCAAAGCATGGTGTAAAATGTAGACATGAATTAATCCATATATGCATTTAGCAGTCATAATTGATTGTATTAATGATTTTAATTAATTATACTTTATATTTAGGGCCTTGGTTGAGATGAGGAGTCGGTGTACGAGTGAACAAATTCACAATTCATTGCTCAGGTGGTTAGAGTAGCAGCGTATCGAACTGAAGGTCGTGGGTTCGAATCCCACTTGCGACACTTAATTTTTCATCTCAACCAAGACCTTAGAAAAAAGTATAATTAATTACAAGAATTGAGGAAAAATCTAGTCTTGCCCTCCACTGTACAACAACAGGGAACTACCAACTTCAACTCTTGAGACAGTTAGATATACCTAGACAACAAACTGACATGGAATCCCCAGCCAAGACTTAAAAGACTTTTTTTTTCTTTTCTTTTTTAATGGCCTTATGAATTTTGCACATTAGCCAAGGAACGTTATATCTCATATGTGATGTGTTTTTTTTTGTGTGTGGGGGGAAGGGTTGCATGAAAAAAAGGGCCAAGGGTGACTGTGAGAATCTAGCCCATGACTGCGGGTTTAGAGCCGAGAGTCCAGCACGCTGACCACTCAGCTACCACATACTTAAAAGTTGACTTGGACAACCACAAAAACTTTTAGACCAAGCGAATTGTCCAAACCCTTTCTTCACTTTCCAATACTGAAAACACTTAACAAAGTCTTAAACAACGATGCTCTTGAGATCTCACTCTTTAATCCCTGATGTTGAGTACCAGAATTGATTGGTTTCTTTTAACTGGTGTCCTCCAGGTCCAGTGCTATTGTCAGTGTTGTGATCAGGAGGGAAAAAACAAAACCAAATTGGAATGTGTATTTTTTGCATGTAAAGGTTAAAATGAAACTATATAAATAAATTGATATATAAAATTATATTTTTAAATTAACAGTATATTCACAAATTTTAAAGTTAGGTAGAAGTTATATTCCTCATTTGCCTAACAATTGACACAAGTTTGGCAGAACAGCCTGCGCTTTCCTTCTGGTATGATTCTACAGGGATCTTGAGTAGCAAAGCAATTTGGGACAAATGCTCGGAAAGGCTGAAACCCAGATCTTCCAAAACATTTCCAAGATATCCTATAATTTGTAAATTTATGTAAGGAGTCAAAAATAAACATTATTGTGAGGTTTAAATTACCAATGTCAATTGCAATCTGCTTTGCCATGTTAGGAGTAACGTCTTTTGTTGACAACAAGTGTTCTATGTAAATTGTGCAAGTCTGTTTGGCTATGTTACCCAAGAGGAGATCAGCACGTGATTCGCCACCTTCTTTGTTAAGGAATGGCTCTAAATGTTGAGGAAGAGTCATTAAATACTCCCCAATCTAAAATTCACATGTAATTTATATTTTTATATTTACATTTATTTATTTTTTACTGACCTGAGTGATATATTCAAGAGGAGCGTAGCTATAGTCAGGGAGCTGTTGGGTGACGCTCGAATTGGAAGCCCATGCTGCGGGGGCGAGCTCCAATTGATCCAAGATCGGCGTTAACATGACATCAAGAGTGGTATGATATCCTCTATTGGATACCTTCATTAATTTCTTTCTCGCTTTGGTTAGAACCGATGGTTCATCGCCTGGAAAGGATGATGATTTAAAAAAAAATGCTGTAGGTTTTATATACATAAACACTCACTTTCTTTGAGCGAAGTGTACAATGTTATATACTGCTCCAAGGCTTGTTTGTCTAACAATATTTCTTTAGATTTAAACTTCGATTCTTTCGCCGATTTTTCAAAGTGGAGAAATTTGTGCACAAGATCCTTGTCCAACTCCTCAACACAATTTTGAAAATCACCTATTAGAAGAAACGTCATACTGACATTTAAAAAATCCTAACTAGCAGTTATAATTTATCGCTTGGCTTTTTGGTGAATCTCAGCCTTTTGGTTTATCACACACATTTCAGGTGTTCACTATCTTTAGTGGTAGGTTTGTATAATTTTTGTGTCTTGACAAGTCCCTTTTATTGAAATAGACTAGTTCCAATGTAAAAAAGGACACAATTGAAGAAACATGTTCTTAATTTCTGAAGATGGTGAACAACCAAAACATGTCTGACAGACTAAACCAGCAAGGATAGGCAAATCGAAATGATTGAAAAACAACAAACTACACGTTGATGACCCAATTCCATGATAATAAGAAATCTCACAGGTTATAGTATTACCAATATTCTGCAGGTATAACAGACAAATTTGAAACATCGCCCATTCTTCCTTGTTTTGCCTTTCAACTTCAATCTGAGAGAGCAGGGTTACATAGTGTTCCAAGTGTTTCAACACACTAAACTGTAACATCAGTACTGTCAATGGAATAAATCAATAATTGAAAAAAAAAAAAGTACCTGTATTGCAGAGACCAAGCCAGGAAAACTGGCAAAATTGGTCAGATCTTTACACCTGGCTATTGCTTTGTTGCAACTGTTGGCAAAAAGTGTTGTTGATTGCCCGACGCCCTGTACAGCTTCTATGAGATCACCATTTATGACCAGATCCGACACTTCTTTCCCGAGTTGGTGCTCTTCGTAAGAAGCATAATTTGAAAAGTAACCTTTGTATATTGTATAAAGTGCTTTTTCAATCTGAGGCCAGGCTTCTTCGGCATTCACGTCTGACATCGATTAAATAAATATGTGAATTATAAGTTTAAAAAAAATTAACGAACCAAATTGGGAGATCGCATTAGAGAAACTCTGACTGAACTGATCTGTAACTTCCCTCAGCTGGATAAGAAACTGGAGTTGGTCTTGGTGTTGTTTCACTGCCAAATCAATTGCAGAAACCATGTCTTTTTCAAGTGTAATTAAAACGTCAATGTAGATAGCAGGGAGCATATTGACGCTATTGAACACCTTTTGACACCACTTGCCCTAGAATGATTTAAAAAAATGTATGTATAAATTTGTGCATTTCTAAGCAAGATTTACCTGTGTTTGCCAGTTAGTTAACATCGTATGATAGAAGCTGGAAAGCCACTCTAAAACGGTACGGTCCTGGTCAAAATCGACTAGCTTGGTCCACTCTTGGCACAGGGAGTCTTTCTCACACTTGGCATAATACCTGATAAGTTGTGGGAGTTTTTCCATACCAGAGAATATTTCTACAAACTTTTTCGACTCCTCTAGACAATTTAATACATGTGTACAATAATTAAAATATCTGTATAGAAAGTAATAATAAAATGAGGTGTGTAAAAAAATATCACAACTTTTCTACATGTATATTAATTTTTCACTCTATAACAATAGAGTATTCAAGTAAGACAGTACTGCACAATAACCCAATTTTAGGCTCAGTTTGAGCCTTGATATTTCATTTAATGAAAATGACAGTGAATTACGGTATTTTGGTAATGTTGGATTGTGGGAGAAGAAAATTTACAGCCAGTGAAACTATATGTTAGGACCATGAAAAATTGGTTGCCTCAAGCCAGTCAGCAAGCGTCAGTATTAAACAGTACAGCACTACAGGTCTATATTGAGGTCAACACATAAAACACTCATCAAATATCAAATAAAAAAAGATATCCACATTAACTGTGAATCACCACATAAACGTTTTATGAAATGTGAAATCAGGCATGTAGGCAAGTTGGAAACAGGAGTCATGGCCTGTAAATATGTCTGTTGCTCTTTTAGAACTGCAAGTGGTTAACATTTCTTCAAAAGAATTAGTGATCAGAAGACCACAGAAGCCAAATCATTAAGGAACCTGACTAGTATTTTCCCAGTTTGTGGTTATATGTTCTAATCTTGGTATAGCCCTTGAAATTTTATTTGAGAATAGAAGTAAAGAAAAAATTCACTATTTTTCGTGGTCCACTTGACCAATTAATATCATTCAATTAATTAAGGTTTTAAGTTGAGATAAAATGGCAAAAAGGAGGGAAAATTCAAAAGGTGGGGTTGAGATGGGAAGTTAGTGCCCGAGTGGATCAAAGTCACGATAGCTCAAGTGGTAGAGTAGCGGCGTATCAAGCCAAAGGTCATGGGTTCGAATCCCACTCGTGACACTGACTTTTTTATCTCAACTTAAAACCTTAATTAATTGAGAAAAGTAAAAAGTAGTAAAATGATGACTACACTCTTTTATTACACATTCACACTTATAAATTACAATATAAAATCTGTAAGTACAAAACCACCTCTGCTTCCTCCTAAAATTGGAACAGGGACCCAAAGATTCGGTGCTGTATTAAAATACAATTCTCATATACCAGAAACCCCTTCAACTAAGTGCAACACCTTGAGCAATAATACTCTGTTTAGGTTAATGATATAAATGATTTATTGTGGCCTGATATCATCAACCTCCTAAACAGAGTATTAAAGCTGAGGCCACAACAGCCCACCGCTATATCGAACATTGAGCAATTTTTCTTTGTATGCCAGACACAGATACAGGCTTTCGCCCAAAAGTAAATGACCGTGTGTCAATGGCGTATTGCAAATTCTGAGTTGGGTTTAGGATGATCCTTCCATATAGGACCTCTGGTCAACCATGCTCTTGATTCAAAAGAGCTTCTCAAATAACCTAGTTCACTGATGCTGCCATAATGTTCTTTATTGCTCATTTAGCATCGATCTGATCACGATATTTCAATGTCTAGAGGGTGGGCCACCTTTTGCCACCCCTCTACTTGTTCGTTACCCTCTAGCCAACATGGGTGGGTACCCAGACAAATACTTTTTTTTAGGAATACACGCCAGTGGATCTACTGAAAATCTGTCTTTTAGAGCCCACAACACACTCAAGCTGCCCAAACGGTAGAATGAATTCTCTAAGCACATCCAGAGTTTGTCTAGCAGTATTATGTCAATTAATCTCTACTAAGCATTTTTGCAACATTATAAGGATTCAAGTAATCAGAAAGTTCTGTCTTCCAAGCCTAAAACTTCAAAACTTTTGAAAATAGACAATATCGAGTTGTAAAACCACCCTATAGACCTGATCTGCTCCTTCAGACTAACTACTTATCCCTAGCTTTATACTAAAAGATTTTTCTTACAAAAAATCCAAGGAATGGACATTTGCCATATCGCTTTAACTGTTCCTGCCACTGATGCCTCCAAATTTTAACTCAAATTCAACAGTCATTTCTTTACTTAATTTTATTGATTATTACCTATTGATTTTGAGGTGAATGCTTTAACCACTTGAGGACTAGCGATTGCTTCTAAAGTATTCTTGTAACTTTCAAGCTTTAATTTCCTGTCATCGAAATCGGCGCAGTTTGCCAAAACCACCAAAGACTGCTGCATGCTTATGACTTTACTTGCTATAGCGTCAATATTGCGTGACTCAATCACCTAAGGGATTTTATCGACTTGTAAAAATAAACCTAAAATTTGTTTGAATATAAATTATACGTCTTCGATGTCAGAAGCCAGCATTGTCCAGTTGTCAGCTTCGTGTAAGGCCTGCTTTGCAACTTGAAGCTCGGTTTTCATTTTGTCGAGCTTTTCCAAAGCGGCCATTGATGCTGCCGTATCTTTTTGAATCTAAAAGTTGGTTTTAATTTAAATCAACGAAATTTCTTAAAATTCTTCTAAAATAAGTTGATTAAAAAAATACATACTTTTGTAATTTCTTCCTTAACCAGTTGCATTTTTTCTTTGAGGAGTAAGGCCTCTTTGTGAATCATATTTGCATCATGAATAACCCTTGGCATACTTTTAAGCACCTAAGCCATTAATGTTATAGTTAAAATAAAAACAATAAAAAATAAATATTAATAACAAGAAATTTACATGTTCACTAGTTTCTTCCATTGCTCCATTAACTTGCTGTACATAAAGCTGAAGTTTACTCACAACAGAAGTCAAATAAGCCTGAAAAGTGTCGAATTAAGTCATCAGCGATAAGAAATTTATTCAGTAATGCAATTTTAATTTAAACTGAGCAAGATTATTTTTGTGTTTGTTGAGTGGACTAAAAGCGGTTAATAAACATTTTGATCAGAATTGTTTCAAAATCTATAGCCGGTCATTTCATGGTGTATAGGCTTCGTGCCAGTATGACAGAGCAAAACAGCACGGATAAGCAGACCAAAATGATACAGAATTAAACAAGCTACTGGTTCATCACCATCACAGAAAGAAATCTCATGCAATAACATTTGTTTTACATTTTCTTCTTCTCTTTTTTTGTTTTTATTAATTTATTTATTTTTGCCTATGCATTTTGGCATGAACTGCAGGTCCCTTATCAAGGCTTTTAGGGGTTGGCAACATACTCAACAATAAATAAAATGCAAGGCTGATCAAGGCTGAAGTGTAAGATTTTTAAAAGTTCAACATTTCAGCACCAACTCTGGTTATATGTATTTTTTATGTATATAATGTACTGTTAACACATTACATGCAGGCTGGAATCAAAATTTTCAACCTATCAGATAGAAAATTTTAATTTTCTCATGTATTAGGACCTACTGATTGTAATACTTTGACTAAGGACAGCTACATTGAATATGTCAAGAATATTGTGAGAGATTAGATCATAGCGATGTTTAATTTTAATCTGAGCAGTTCCACTTGTTCCCCAAACAGTCTTCATCTTTGTTGGAGTCTATAGCTCATTGCTGGACTCGGGCACCTATTGAAAATTTTGTTACTAAGGGCTTTATTCTAGTTGTGTATCGCCTTGGATCGCTTATTCAAGATTTCTTCTTAGACCTCTGTCAGACTAGATGGTTATGAAACCACTGTGGCCATGTTGTTAGGGCATCTGTCTGGCATAGCCCATGCATTTTTTAATTGTGAATAATATGAAGAAAGTATAATGTGGTTTTACCACTCATCCCCAACACCCATTGGGTAGTTGGACGTTAAATCTCCTGTCATACACTATTTCATTTATTTAGAGATGAGGGTTTATTCAACTAGTTGAATGGATGGGTTTCAAAAAGTGTAGCCCTGTAGCAAATGATTGGTAACCAAACTCCTTCACATGCAGTCAACTTGTCCACACAGGCAAGTGGCCAGCATGCACAAGTGTCGCTCATGTTCTCATCCCCATGGTAGACTCAACTCAAAAGTCTCAGAATTCGTCCTTCACACCAATCATCTAGTGGAATCAACTAAGATCATCATAAAAAGTGTTGCAATTTTAAGTTTCACAGGAACAGTTCATTTAACAAATTCATATTCGTCCCGTGACATGGGTCATGAAGTGTGAGGAGTAATGCAATCACTTTTCTTTGACTGGGTTTCTTCCCTTTTTATGCTTTTCTTCTTGCAGAGAGCAAGCGCAAGAAGTGCTCCTGTTCCATCAGATTCCAAAGTACTGATATCCTGTTGGGAACAGAAGTCGATTCCACGAGTTGCCTGGTATGAAGTCAGCCAAGAAAAGTTTTCATACGGTTCAACTTGAAGTCAACCCAGGCAACTTTGCTGGATTAACTACCTCCTCCAAAAAGGCCTTAATCTTCAAAGTTAAATTTATAGCTTTTGTGAAATAATGCCACCTATAGCTTGATTATCTAAAACCACTCTGGCTTGCCTTGTCTCGGTTTATTCTGTCAGGTAGGCAAGTATGATCCAGATCAAACCACAATTACAATTTAAATTTGCATGTTTCTTAGACAGTACTTAAGCCGAATAATGAATAAAAATCACCTCTTTGTTTTCCAAGGCTTCGGGGGATCGGAAAGTCTCATTGATCCACTCCTTCGGATCAAAATGACTCTCAGAAAAAGCTGATATATTCTGAAAACAGTTCTGGTGAGTATGTTAAACTCATATTGGTAGATAATTTTCAAAATCTCACCATTTTCGATCTGATTACGACTTATTTTAAAAACATTATATTTTCTTTATATAAGATTTGTTATCATTGTTGAGCTCAACGTTGTCAAACGCTCACCAACAGTCAGCAGAAGGTTATAAAACGTGGACACTCCAATGGACCCGCTCTTTCCAACTGCATGAGAAAACACTGCAACTCACGTGAATAGTACGTTTTTAGTAGTTTAAACCTTTTTTTTTTCCATAAATAGTAATTGTAGTTATTAATACTTTAAATATAGCCGACTTTGCAGAATATTGCAGCAAATGTAACTTCCTAATTAATTTAAAAAATCAAAAATAGCATGAAACTTGGCAGTATGAAGGGTAGAAAATAGAAAACAACAAGTTTAAATATTTAAAAATTGCCCTCAAGTTAACACCTCTGGGAAATCATCTCTAGTATAACTTAATAACTATAAAAATCTATATAAAAGAGAGAGGCTCCCTTTTTCCTTCCAATTGCACTTAATTAAAGTTGTCTGTAGGGCAATACTCAGTTATAATCCCCAAGTATGAGGGTTGCAAGGATAGAGTTAGATAAAGTCAGCATAATAAGCTTAAAAAGTAGAAAAAATTGTATTATAATGTGTGGTGATTAGTGACCGTTAATCGATATTTATTTACAAATCGTGAGATGCGGTGTGGAAAAAAATTTGTATTATAATTTTATCTTTAAAAGATTATTTTCTATTAAAAGAATGTTTTCTAATGCATTATTTTCACTTTCCAATTACACATCAATTCTATTTAAGTTACTACATTCACCACCCAAGAAATTCTGCTTTTAAAGACAAACTTTATTTTTTATTTTCTAAATAATACAGATTAAAAAAATAGGACAGACATGTTGACAGTGCAGTGGTCAGACTAAGTGTGTGGGAAATGGGTGCCTCAGAGTTCATCTCTGGTCTTGATTGCGAAGTATAAATTTGACATAAAAAGCACTAATCATTTGGCTGAGTTTTTTTCAATGTTATCTTACTATGATTCTAAATATTTAATACAAAATCGGCAATTTCCCCAATCGATGTAGAGGAAATTTCGTAAACTAAATTCCTAGAAACAGTACAAATTATTGAACATAATATAAGGGTAAAGAGGCAACGAAGAGGCCGATGAATTGGCAGAGGAAAGTTTGATGAGGGCACTTATTGGTACTGAACCTTTTTGTGGCATTCCAAACTGCCAAAAACGTGGATTCATCAGACAATGGATTAAACATAAGTAATCTGTTCAACAGGAATTTAGCCCAGTTCAGAGGTATGCACAAGCCATTGCATAAACTAATACCAAAACTACTAAACCTAGGACATGTTAGCATTAGAATAATAGTTGGACTGCTAGTTGTACACCGCATAATCCGAAGGCATATGCAGACTCGGAAAGGCAGAAATAAGCCTGTGCATTGCAAGGAAAAAGAACAGACGCGGAACATGTCTTCTGTTGGTGCAGATAAAAATGTAGGCTGAGATTCTATTCCTGGGAAAGGAAAAGCCCGGTTTTCACGGATATGCACGGGAGTCCTTGAAAAAGCTTTGGGATTTGTTAAAAAGTCTTATGCTTAATGAGCAGCTCTAGACAAAATGGAGATGCACAATACACCAATACTGGTCGCGTTGCACAGGTCATATAAAAGCCGACTCCTACTCTAATCTTCATCTTAATCTTACAAATAATATGACGGTTATTAGGTGAGTAGCATAACTATTTTCTAAGATCTTAAATGGCCGTTTCATGATGTATTTTGAGATTTTTAGTTTAATTTGAAGTTCAGGTTGTTGATTTACTTCTAAAATTTAAATTTTCTGACCAATAGGTCTTTTACGTGTTCAGAGAGAAAAATCATGGGGCAATTGCAGCGACCCACTGTTAATACCTCCAAAAATCAGATTTACACCCTAAGATGGTATATGCAATTGGTGGGGTTGGAAAGTTGTTTTATTAAGAGCTTCTTCCGCCCAACCAAACCGTTATTTCTAGTGGATACTGCACATGTTTGGAGAAATTAGTCAATATTGGCTAATCGCTAGTTTTCCTTCAGGATAACACTTGCCCTGATGGTTTCTGCAGGCGTCGAAATCGTTCGCGCTTGGCTGTGCTTCCCTACTTCCCTATTAGCCTGACATTGCCCTTCAGATTTTCACATATAACGGGTTCTGCAAAATACTATTAATGGAAAAAACTGTAATTCAGGATTGCACAGAAGTAATAACACACCCCGGAGTTCATCGCTTAAAAACCAGAAAAGTTTTGGGTGGATGGAATCACAAAATTACATAGAAGTTGGCAACAGATAGTGGATCAAAACAAACGCTTTTCATTCAATTTGTTTACGAGTACCTAAAAGTTTTCATTGAATTTACCATTAAAAAAACGCTGCGGACTTATTTTACGACCTAATAGATACTTTACTTTTTATTCTTGGTTTATACACAATGTAAATGTTTACAATGTTTATTGCTAGTAATTGAGTAATGTTCACACTACCACGTGAGATAGCATAACTTTATAAAAGACCATCAAATATGTATATTGTTTATATTATTTTAATTCACTATACATGAAAAACGTATATATTATGCTAATAAACACACACATCACTGTTATATATGTTCCTGTACCTTGTAAAATTTTTAAGGGAGTGTTAATATGTGTTGAACTTAAAGTAGGCAAACTAAACTCGTAGAGCCTCTACAGGTACATATGATCCAGTTTGAAACCAAGCATAACCACGATTTAGCAGCAGGAAGTTGAAGTAAAATATCTTTACAACTCTGAAGTCTAGAAGCTAAACGAGAGGATAAAGGATAAGATAACATAAATTGACAAATATTGTATTATCTCTCTCTCTCTCTCTCTTCTCTCTCTCTCTCTCTCTCTCTCTCTCTCTCTCTCTCTCCTCTCACTCTCTCTCTCACAAAAGAATCAGATCCCTAGGGACGAGGAGGAAAAGCTTATTAAACAATTTGTAGTATTTATTTGTTTTCAAGTAATTATCGACCACTTTTTCACCCACGAACAGTCTAGTTCAAAGTACGGTCTTCGTGAAAATGCGAATTAAATTGTTACTGCCAAGCTTTCGACCTATTTTAAGGTCAACATTCTTAAACATTGTATTAAAACATTATTATTATCTTAAAACATTCTTAAATGTGTATTATAGAGTGACATATTTAATTTTTTTACAGGCGAACTAAAAACTCAGTCCTGAGGAATTTTTCGAACTTCGTGTATTTTCTTTGTACTACTATTTGTCCCTCAGGAACAGTCTGGATCAAGGTGTAGTCGTGAAGAAAAAAGAATTCAGTTGTTACTGCCAAGCTTTCGACCTATTATATCAGGGCAAAACAACCTTAATGCAGTCCTTGGCAATGTTAGGGCTGAGTCGATTTTCTCTGAAATTTGGGATCGCCTGTAAAAAAAAACCTTAAATATGTCAATCTGTTGTTTTGCCCTGATGATGACCTTAAAATAGTTCGAAAGCCTGGCAGAAACATTTGAATTCCTTTTTTTCTCAAGTCTATGCCTTGTCGCAGTATTCGTAAGTATTTATTGGTTGTATTTGACCCGAGCACCGAGAAAACTCGGGTGTGTTTTTCCCCTCCGTTTGTTCTAGCGTGAAATAAGCGTTCGGCACAGTTTTATCGCCGGTTTTAGCGAGCCGAGGCCCCTCTCCGTTGGAAGGAGAAAAGGAAAAATTATGCAACCCGCGCCCGCCTTCATCATCGGTGTACGTTCAGTGCGGTTCATGTCTTCAGAGTGCCATGGATAATATCACCCCACCGGCGGTACTCAAACAGGTAACGCATGTCCGAGAGAATCGGAACCGATAGCCGAAAGTAAACCTTGGACCTATTTACCTATGGAATATTTTTCAGATATGTAAACTATAACGATAAACTCAAAATGGGTCTCAACTTTAGTTGCTATTGTAGAGATATATTGTTAATAATATGTTACAGAAACAATAGGACCTTTAAAAACACATGAATATGTATGCCTATTATTACTAATAATAACTAATCGATTATGTATTCTTACAAATAGATAGTTTTATACTTTATAAAATTTTTGGTAGTCTCATGAATTTACACTCTTAAATTTGAGTGATTAACAAGTAATTTCATTCAATGAAGCTTTGCAAAAGTAAAATACCTTAACATAAATAAATAAAATACCTTAAATTAATACCTCATTACATTAAGGTAAAGGTCCAGGGTTAGTCGACTTAAAACGTAAACACAACATTAATTGTTATCTAACAACATTAATGTTTGCCTTTTTAGATGTTACTAATTGTTAATTGTTACTACTTTTACATTCTTCAGATAACAAATATAGAAAATCACTTTTAATTTCATCCATTCCAGAGCCAACTTGTCGAGTGAGTTAATTGGGATTTTAAATGTTTTCTTTGATAAAACAATAAATTTGAGTAATTTTTAAAAGCAAGATTTTATTAAGTCGAGAAGATCACGCCCGGGTGCTTTGGCCAAGAACGGACGTTGCGTCCTTTACATAGCCCAAGCCATGGGTGTGCCCTTCTACCACCCACTAGGTCTACGGCGGTTTAGGGCCAACGGAAGTCTTAATCGAAGAGAAGGTAGTGCGGATCGTTTTATTGTCCTTACCGCACTCAGGATATTTAACAGCTTCGTTGGTAGATACCCAACTCCAAACGGTCCGTACTGTAAGGATGAGCACTAAAGAGTCATCAGAAAGCGTCGTGAGAATAGCCTAGTCTCTAGACGTCCCACATCAGGTTGTTTACTATTGGAGAGGAATCGAGTGTAAACGCTTGGTCACTCGAACAATGGGGGAGTTATTCACAGATTAGTGTCGGTTTGATTTGTGGCAATCAGATGACTGGGACCGTGTGTGGAGAAGACGTGAAGAACGCTTTGCTTCATGTACCATGGCGTGAATCATAGCCTTTTCAAAGACAGTCAATTACAGTAAGGAGTGGAATCAACGTGCAAACCCGTACCGAACAGTTCATAGTATAGAATGTATCTTTGACTGTACTAAGGTTCGTTGCGGAAGTTCTTCTGGACGCTATAGTCAAATTCCCTCCATTGGGGACAACTTCGTGTTAATGATAATGCCCGACCGCGATGCTCGAGTTGTCACCCATTACTTGAAGGATGCTGATTTGGCCATTTTCTCCTTGGACACTTATAGGACATGATAGACGTAGTTCGCCGCCTCCAGCAAGCGTTGAACAGCTTCAAACTTCTTCTTGCTGAAGAATGGGATTCTGTTCCACAAGTCGCAATCCGATCGCTTATTTACTCGATGCCTCCGCGAGGCCAGATGAGGTAATAAGCGTTATTAAGAGCAAAACTAGGTCATAAATTGTTAGTTAAATTTTAATCTATCACTAAATGATTTTCCGGTGTTTTGTTGAATTTTCTTTCAAACCATGATAACTAAATATTTTATTTATTAAAACTCATCAATGTAATCTCGTTTAAATTTGGTTTACATTAAAATTAGTAGAAATAATAAAGGTGAGTTGAGTATGTCGATTCACTTTTTGTAAATGATGATTCTACTTACAGATTTGTTGTTTACAGGATTAATAAATATAAAGATAAAAATACATATAATTTGACATAAACAAAAAAATAGGGTGTCCGGTTTTTGTCTCTGATTGTATAATTTTAAAAAATTGAAAGTCAAAAAAACTTACATACATCTCATCCGAAAAACGACACGAACATCAAGGAAAAAATTGAATTATCTTCTTATATCGACATTTATTAATATGTGTGTATATACATACTAATATCTATGTAAATATATTTTTAATTTGTTCCATTAGCAAAAGTAATTATTTTAATTGTTTTAGTATTTTTATTGAAAGTGTAGCCGCGTCGAAAAATTAGTGTCACGAGCAGGACTCGAACCCTCGACGACATCGGGATGGGTTCGAGTCCCGTTCGTGACATTAATTTTTCAACTCAGACACACTTTGCATAAAAAATAATAAATCTAATGTATTTAATCGAGTCTATATATTACATAAAAAAAGGAAGCCAAGATCTAGTAAACATTTTGATCCAGATTTGAAAAAATATTTCACACTATTCATTATAAACATCTCAACGAAGGAAAACATTTATCAGCTAGCACAATCTGACTTTTGTTGATTAAATACTGAATATTCATCAATTTGTCTTTAATTCAGAGACAATAGGTTCAGGGGGAAAAGCGCAATCAGTACATTTCATTTCTCAAAACCGATAAGATCTATCTAAAAAATCATATTGTTGGTCAAAATCCAAATAGAAATTATGGTTTTTTAATTTCTTATCGTTTCTTCCCAAAGATAAATAAATAAACAACACACAAAAAAATTAAAATAAACCAAAATTTAATTAATTAAATGGAACAAGAGCACCCAGGAAAGAGTCGATCGAAAGTGTCCATCGCCTTGAAAAACCTGATATTTAAAGATTTGTTATCGTTTTATTTCCAAATGAGAAAAGGTCGACTTGGAAGACAAGTGATTGGAAGAATTCTCAACATTTGATTCCCAAAAAAACGAGAGCGACTTGTAAAACAAGTTATTTGAAAGATTGCATAGCATTTCTTATCGAAAAGAACCAAGAGTAGCTTGGAAAACCACCCAAAAGAGACAAGGCGATTTGAAAGACAAGGGATTTGTTGATTCCTTAGCGCGTAAATCCGAAAAGAAACAAGGGTGGAATGACAGACAAAATATTTGAAAAACGCCCAGAATTTCAACCCCAAATCAGACAAAGATGAATTAAAAGGCGAAATATTTGAGTCTATCTCAATATTTCACTCGCAAAAGGGACAAAAGCAGCTTGGAAGACAAAAGATATGAACTTTTCCAGATTTTTCATTACTTATTTATTATCTATTATTTTCCAAGGGTAAAATTGCAGAAGAGAGACAAGAGTGTGACAGAAAACTGGCTACTGAATGATTTCCCGGCATTTCACTCCTTAAAGAAACCTTAGAAGACCACAGAAAAAGGAAGTTTGGAAGAAAAAAGACATAGGGAAAACATTTATTCTGTTCATTTCTCAGTATTAAAAATCCTAAAAGGAATAAGGGTAGCTTAGAAGTCAAAATATTTGAAAATTGCCCAGACTTTCGTTCCTAAACTAGATAGATAAAACGTGGAATACAAAATTTTTGAATTTTTGCATTTCATTTTAAAACGAGTCAAGGGTCATTAATCACAAGAATTGTCATAAGTAAAAGTAAATTAATTAATTAATTCCTGTCTTAGAGGAGAGCTTAATGTCTAACTACCTGTTGGGTATCGGACCATTGGTAAAAACCGGTGTACAAAACTTTATTAAAATTATTCTCAATTAAAATTCCATGGGCCATACACCTGAAAAAATATTTGAATTGAATCGAATAAGGCTGATTTTTTCACTTTTGAATTTTTTATTGTTCTAGTTATTGTATAAACAAGTTTATTTATCTTTTTCCAATCCAGCTTATAAACAATATTTTTTACTTGACAAAATTTCCAGAGGCCAATACGTCTATGAAAAATTGTTTCTAGATTTCTCATTTCCTCACTACCCAAGCCAATTTCATCTATCGAACACAACATTCAGATCACTTATCTAACAAATTTTTATTTTTTAACCTCTCGCCCCCTCCCAAAAAAATTTCATTTTTAATTCAGATGTTAATACATCCTATAAGCACAATTCTTGGTAATTCTCAATTGAACAGCAAATAAGCAAATATTGGCCATAAAATTATAATAAAACTTCTTGAGTATAACCTGTCATATGACGTAGTGAAAAAAAAATATTTCGTACAATTCTTTGATCTAATCCTTTATGCGTTCACCGTTTATGCAATCTCTGGTTAGTTTTATGTCACTTGTTACACGTTTAAGATGAAGAGATGAAGAAACGATTTCATTTTATATCACGGATTACACAAAATTTGAAATTACTTTTCTCACTTTTTGTTAAGTTTTAGCTGCTTAATTTCTTTAATTTATCGGCCTATTTCTTTTTAAAATATCTCAGTATTTGCCAATTTTGCAAATGCCTTTAACTTCTAAAATATTTTCCATGATTGGCGGAATTTCAATTTAAGAACTCATTATGTCTGCATGATTAAATGGCTAAATTTAAACAAACTTTGCAATAAAAATAAAACGTTATGTCGGATAAATTATTTTGTTGTATTACTTATAAAATAAATTCCTTACAACATTGAGAAAAAAAATTGTGTTGCAGAAGAATGCAACTTTTGGTAAAGCATTGCCTGCTTGGTTAGAAATAGGTTTTTCTCAGCTAAAATAAATTTAGCTAAAGGCTGGGAAAGTTGAAAATGTTCGATAGTTCACCTACACTTGAAAAGTTGAAAAGTTCTTAAGAAATTTGGAGGTTTTTTGTTTGTTTTTCGAAGTGGTAAAATTCGACAGACGATCGCGGAATTCTTTCATCGGTCGAATTTCAGACGAACAAATTTTCCTTCCCAACGATTTTCAATCATAACACCAGAGAAGTAATTACGTTTAAAATGCAATTAAATTTCTTTCCGATTCGTCAGCCCTCTGGAATTAAACGAGGAAACTGATTACCAGTTAATGCACGGGGACACATCATCGGCCCGGAATTATTGTTTTTACTGTAATCTTTCCAGGGGTTTTTTTCGTTCGATTAGCATTTATTCATCGATGATTTATGAATAATGAACGTTTATATTTGAAAGAAAAAAAATTGCACAGGATATATATGATCAGAAAGACTAGAAAACTTATATCCTGGAGCCTAGAATCCTTGTAGTAGTT